CCGGCTCGGCTCCTCCCCCCGGCTCGGCTCCTCCCCCCGGCTCGGCTCCTCCCCCCGGCTCGGCTCCTCCCCCCCCAACCCCGGCTCGTTTTATATTATCGAATGTATATCGAATGTAATTCTCTACCTACCTACGCGATGACTTCGCCGAGAGAATCAAAGGGGGGCGTGGGTTACCTGCGGCCAGGAGAAGCTTCGCATCAAGACGAGACAACACGATTTAAACGTGTCCGCCCGTATTGCAACGGCTGTGAGCTTTCAAGTTTCAAGTTTTCATTCATTTCGGTATACACCCTGTGAGCCATGCGGCTCTTAAGTCCGGTGCAACGGCAACCAACACAATTTGAACACAGAGAAACATCTTAAATCACAATGTGGTGCAAGCCAACAACAACAACAGCAACAACTATAAGACAATTTAGATGAACCATGTGTTTTTGAATCACCAAAATAAAGCTATAAAAAAACAATGTAGCAACAGTAATCGTAGGAACTGTAATTTAAAATGTAACAATAAACGATATATAATATATATAACCTGCAGCCATAGCTGGCAGCTGCATGGACGTGAAGAATCGCGGACGCACGGTGTGGGTTTTGGAGCTGTTGTGTGTCTGTGTCTGTCACCCACCCACCACCACCCACCCACCCACCCCCAACTCCATCACCACCCCCCCACACCACCACCACCCACCCCAACCACCCACCCCCAACTCCATCACCACCCACCCACCACCACCCACCCCCAACTCCATCACCACCCACCCACCACCACCCCCCCACCACCACCACCCACCACAACCCACCCCAACTCCATCACCACCTACCACCACCACCACCCACCCGCATCACCACCCCCCACCCACTCACCCACCCTCCCCACCACCCCCCCCCACCACCCACCCACCACCACCCACCCCCAACTCCATCACCACCCACCCACCACCACCACCCCCCCACCACCACCACCACCACCCCCCCACCACCACCACCCACCACCCACCACCATCACCACTCCCCCACCACTCACCCACCCCCCACCACCACCTACCGCCACCACCACCCACCCACCCCCACCACCCACCCACCAGCACCACCCACCCCCACCCAACTCCATCACCACCCACCCACCACAACCCACCCCCAAACTCCATCACCACCCACCCCCCACCACCACCCCCCACCACCCACCACTACTCACCCACCCCCCACCACCACCCCCCCCACCACCACCCCCCCACCACCACCCACCCCCAACTCCATCACCACCCACCCACCCCCACCCCCCACCACCACGACCCACCCCCAACTCCATCACCACCCACCCACCACCATCCACCCCCAACTCCATCACCACCCACCCACCACCACCCACCCCCAACTCCATCTCCACCCACCCACCACCCACCCCCAAACTCCATCACCCACCCACCCCCCACCACCACCCCCCCACCACCACCCCACCACCACCCCCCCCCAACCACCATCCAACACCACCCACCCCCATCACCACCCACCACCACTCACCCACCCCCCCACCACCCACCCACCACCACCCACCCCCAACTCCATCACCACCCACCCCACCCACCACAACCACCCCCAACTCCATCACCACCCACCCCCCACCACCACCCCCCCACACCACCCCCCACCACTACTCACCCACCCCCCACCACCACCCCCTCACCACCACCCACCCCCCACCACCACCCTCCCACCACCACCCACCCCCAACTCCATCACCACCCACCCACCATGACCACTCCCCCACCACCCACCCACCCCCACCACCACCCCCCACCACCACCACCACTCACCCACCCCCCACCACCACCCCCCTCACCACCACCCACCACCACCCACCCCCACCACCCACCATCACCACTCACCCACCCCCCACCACCAACCCCCACCACCACCCCCCCCACCACCACCACCCCACCACCACCCCCAACTCCACCACCACCCACCCACCACCATCCACCCCCAACTCCATCACCACCCACCCACCCCCCACCCCAACTCCATCACCACCCACCCACCCACCACCACCCTTCCACCCACCACCACCCACCCCAACTCCATCACCACCCACCCACCATCACCACTCCCCCACCACTCACCCACCCCCCACCACCACCTACCGCCACCACCACCCACCCACCCCCACCACCAACCCACCACCACCACCACCCACCCCCAACTCCATCACCACCCACCCCCCACCACCACCCCCCCACCACCACCCCCACCAACCACCATCCACCACCACCCACCCCCATCACCACCACCCACCACCACCCACCCCCAACTCCATCACCACCCACCCACCCCCCACCACCACCCCCCCACCACCACCCCCCCACTACCACCCACCCCAAACTCCATCACCACCCACCCCCACCCACCACCACACACCCACCACCCACCCCCCACCACCACCACCCCCAATTCCATCACCACCCACCCACCACTACCTACCCCCAACTCCATCACCACCCACCCACCCACCCCCCCCCACCACCCCCACCACCACCCCCCCCACCACCACCCACCCCACCCCAACTCCACCACCCACCCACCACCATCCACCCCCAACTCCATCACCACCCACCCACCCCCCACCCCCAACTCCATCACCACCCACCCACCACCACCCACCCACCTCCACCCACCCCCAACTCCATCACCACCCACCCACCACCACCACCCACCCCCAACTCCATCACCACCCACCCACCACCACCACTCCTCCCCCCCACCACCACCCACCCCCACCACCACCCCACCACCACTCACCCACCCCCCCACCACCCACCCACCACCACCCACCCCCAACTCCATCACCACCCACCCACCATCACCACTCCCCCACACTCACCCACCCCCCACCACCACCTACCGCCACCACCACCCACTCCCCCCACCACCCCCCACCACCCCCACCACCACCACCCACCACCACCACTCACCCACCCCCCACCACCACCCCCCCACCACCACCCCCCCACCACCACCCACCCCCAACTCCATCGCCACCCACCCACCCCCCCCCCACCACCCCCCCACCACCCACCACTCACCCACCCCCCACCACCACCACCCACCACCCACCACTCACCCACCACCACCCCCCCCACCCCCCACCACTCACCCACCATCACCACCCCCCCACCCCCCACCACCACCATCCCCACCCACCCATCCACCACACCAGCCACCCCTACCCAACATGGCCGCCGAGTCCCAGCACGCTCTCGCTCCCCCCCACACCCCACCCGACTCTGTCGCGCGTCTGATGACGTCGCGAGGCGACCGCCCCCCCCCTGCCCCTCCCCCCACCCACACCCCGCAACTTCCGGGAATAATTCTGTAGCGAGTGGCTTTGGTGGTGGCCGCGGTGGTGGCGGCGGTGGTGGTGGCGGTTGTTGTTGTTGTTGTTGTTGTCGTTGTTGTCATTGTTGTCGTTGTTGTCGTGGTGGTGGTGGTGATGGCGACGAGAGGAGCGGCCACTCAGCCGCAGGGCCTCCACCGCTAGAGACCCACAGCGGCTGTCGAGTTCCACAACTCTCTCCACCACCGCTAGGAGACCTCCACCAGGAGACCACCACCACCACCAGGAGACCACCACCACCACCAGGAGACCACCACCACCAGGAGACCACCACCACCAGGAGACCACCACCACCAGGAGACCACCACCACCACCAGGAGACCACCACCACCAGGAGACCACCACCACCAGGAGACCACCACCAGGAGACCACCACCACCAGGAGACCACCACCACCAGGAGACCACCACCACCAGGAGACCACCACCACCAGGAGACCACCACCACCAGGAGACCACCACCACTAGGAGACCACCACCACCAGGAGACCACCACCACCAGGAGACCACCACCACCACTAGGAGACCACCACCACCAGGAGACCACCACCACCAGGAGACCACCACCACCAGGAGACCACCACCACGAGGACTACCAGAGGACGCCACCGTCACCTCCACCACCACCTCCATCATTCACCACCACCTCCACCACCACCTCCATCATTCATCTTCACCACCACCTCCACCATTCACCACCACCTCCATCATTCACCACCACCTCCATCATTCACCACCACCACCTCCATCATTCATCTTCACCACCACCACCTCCACCATTCACCACCACCTCCATCATTCACCACCACCTCCATCATTCACCACCACCTCCATCATCATTCACCACCACCACCACCGTGATGTCTCACGCTGGAGGAGCAGCAGCAGTAGGAGGAGCAGGAGGATCAGGAGGAGGATCAGCAGGATCAGGAGGAGCAGGAGGATCATCATCAGGAGGATCATCAGGAGGATCATCAGGAGGAGGATCAGGAGGATCATCAGGAGGAGGATCATCAGGAGGATCATCAGGAGGAGGATCATCAGGAGGAGGATCATCAGGAGGAGGATCATCAGGAGGAGGATCATCAGGAGGAGGATCATCAGGGGGATCATCAGGAGGAGGATCATCAGGGGGATCATCAGGAGGAGGATCATCAGGGGGATCATCATCATCATCAGGAGGAGGATCATCAGGGGGATCATCAGGAGGATCAGGAGGAGGATCATCAGGAGGGGGATCATCAGCAGGAGGAGGATCATCATCAGGAGGAGGATCATCAGGAGGATCATCATCAGGGGGATCATCATCATCATCAGGAGGATCATCATCAGGAGGAGGATCATCATCATCATCATCATCAGGAGGATCATCAGGGGGATCATCATCATCATCAGGAGGATCATCATCAGGAGGAGGATCATCATCATCATCATCATCAGGAGGATCATCAGGGGGATCATCATCATCATCAGGAGGCGATGAGGGAGCGCGTGCCCGGCGCGAGCGGCAGCTGAGGCAGTGGCACGGCTCTGAAACCGACTTGGAGTCGAGCGAGCGACGACATCGTCGACAACATCAACAACAACATCAACAACAACATCAACAACATCAACAACAACATCAACAACAACAACAGGGTGGTGGCGAGAAGGTCTGCCGCAGGCGAGTTCGCTTCGACGCAGGGGCCGAATTCCTGGCGGCTGTGGCCGCTGGAGACTCTGAGGACGTGAAGGAGTTGCTGATGTTGGCAAGAGGTGATGGTGATGGAGGTGGTGGTGGTGGTGGTGCTGATGTCAACCACGCCAATGCCGACGGGCTCACGGCTCTTCACCAGGTGAGTTGGTGGAGCAGACACGGGGCGATGGTGGTGGTGGTGATGGTGGTGATGGTGGTGAATGATGGAGGTGGTGGAGGTGGCGGTGGTGAATGAATGATGGTGGTGGTGATGGTGGTGGTGATGGAGGTGGTGGTGATGGAGGTGGTGGTGCTGATGTCAATCACGCCAATGCCGACGGGCTCACGGCTCTTCACCAGGTGAGTTAGTGGAGCAGACACGGGGTGGTGGTGGTGGTGATGGTGGTGGTGATGGTGGTGGTGATTGTGGTGGTGGTGATGGTGGTGGTGAATGAATGATGGTGATGGTGGTGATGGTGGTGATGGTGGTGGTGATGGTGGTGGTGGTGATGGTGGTGGTGATGGAGGTGGTGGTGGTGGTGGTGCTGATGTCAATCACGCCAATGCCGACGGGCTCACGGCTCTTCACCAGGTGAGTTGGTGGAGCAGACACGGCGTGATGGTTGTGATGGTGGTGGTGATGATGGTGATGGTGGTGATGGTGGTGATGGTGGTGGTGGTGAATGATGGAGGTGGTGGAGGTGGTGGTGATGATGGTGGTGAATGATGGAGGTGATGGTGATGGTGGTGAATGATGGAGGTGGTGGAGGTGGTGAATTATGGAGGTGTTGATGGTGGTGATGATGGTGGTGGTGATGGTGGTGGTGATGGTGGTGAATGATGGAGGTGGTGGTGGTGGTGGTGGTGAATGATGGAGGTGGTGGTGGTGCTGATGTCAATCACGCCAATGCCGACGGGCTCACGGCTCTTCACCAGGTGAGTTGGTGGAGCAGACACGGGGTGATGGTTGTGATGGTGGTGGTGATGGTGGTGGTGGTGAATGATGGAGGTGGTGGAGGTGGCGGTGGTAAATGAATGATGGTGGTGGTGATGGTGGTGGTGAATGAATGATGGTGGTGGTGGTGATGGTGGTGGTGATGGTGGTGGTGGTGAATGAATGATGGTGGTGGTGAATGAATGATGGTGATGGTGGTGGTGGTGATGGTGGTGATGGTGGTGGTGGTGATGAATGATGGAGGTGGTGATGGTGGTGGTGATGGTGGTGGTGATGGAGGTGGTGGTGGTGGTGATGATGGTGGTGAATGATGGAGGTGATGGTGATGGTGGTGAATGATGGAGGTGATGGAGGTGGTGGTGGTGAATTATGGAGGTGTTGATGGTGGTGATGATGGTGGTGGTGATGGTGGTGGTGATGGTGGTGAATGATGGAGGTGGTGATGGTGGTGAATGATGGAGGTGGTGGTGGTGAATGATGGAGGTGGTGGTGGTGAATGATGGAGGTGGTGGAGGTGGTGGTGGTGAATGAATGATGGTGGTGGTGGTGATGGTGGTGATGAATGATGGAGGTGGTGGTGCTGATGTCAACCACGCCAATGCCGACCAGCTCACGGCTCTTCACCAGGTGAGTTGGTGGAGGAGACACGGGGTGGTGGTAGCGGTGGTGAATGATGGAGGTGGTGGTGGTGATGGTGGTGATGATGATGATGATGGTGGTGGTGATGATGATGATGGTGATGATGATGGTGGTGGTGATGGTGGTGGTGATGAATGATGGTGAAGGTGGTGATAGTGGTGGTGGTGGTGATGGTAGTGGTGGTGGTGGTGATGGTGATGATGGAGGTGGTGATGGTGGTGATGAATGATGGTGGTGGTGATGATTGATGGAGGTGGTGGATGTGGTGATGAATGATGGTGATGAATGATGGTGGTGGTGGTGATGGTGATTAATGATGGTGGTGATGGTGGTGATGAATAATAGAGGTGGTGATGGTGGTGATGAGAGGTGGTGGTGGTGTTTGTGGTGGTTCATGGTTGTAGTGATGAGTGATGTTGGTGGTGCTGATTGTGGTGATGGCGATGTTGGTTTGCGTTGATAAAGGTGCCGGTGGAACTTGATGTTGGTTGTGGTGGTGATGAAGGTGGTGGTGATGCTGGTGGTGGTGAAGGTGGTGATGGTGGTGGTGATGGGGCAGTTGTGGAGAGTTTCCCACACCTGGGCTCATGACCGGCTCCAGTTTAACGACAGAGGTCTCGCTCCGAATCAGTCGAGCGGCATCTTCACTTCGTAACGCTGCTGTGTGGAAGCTACCTTGGTCTGTCGCTCCGCACGATGCATCAGCTTCAGGTCTTCTCGGCCACAGCCAGGTCCTTCCCTTCTCTCTACGCTTGTGAAACGTGGACCCCCCCCCTAATGGAACATCTGTGCCGGTTAGAAATGTTCAGGCGGGCCTGCCTACGCCCCATCCTGGTTTAACCTGCAGGCTGGATTGTTTGAGGAGCTCACAAATCCTTGAAAGATTCTGGACAAGGTCCCATCGGTGAGCTCCTCCGGCGGGCAAGGCTGCAATGGCTGGGTCATGTAGCCCGCATGCCCAGCCACCGCATGCCGAAACAGCTTTTGTTCGGCCGGATCGAGGGGGCTAAACGGGCGCGGCACGGGGCTAGAGAAGAGATGGAGTGATGTGGTACAGGAGGCACGTGGCTAGTGAAGAGATGGAGTGATGGGTGAGTGGGTGGGTGAGTGGGTGAGTGAGTGAGTGACACGGGCTAGTGAAGAGATGGAGTGATGTACAGGAGGCACGGGGGTAGAGAAGAGATGGAGTGATGTGGTACAGGAGGCACGGGGCTAGAGAAGAGATGGAGTGACGTGGTACAGGAGGCACGTGGCTAGAGAAGAGATGGAGTGATGTGGTACAGGATGCACGTGGCTAGAGAAGAGATGGAGTGACGTGGTACAGGAGGCACGGGGCTAGAGAAGAGATGAAGTGACGTGGTACAGGAGGCACGGGGCTAGAGAAGAGATGGAGTGACGTGGTACAGGAGGCACGTGGCTAGAGAAGAGATGGAGTGACGTGGTACAGGAGGACGTGGAGCTGAGTGGACTTGCCGATGACTGGTACCAGCGGTGTCAAGATCGGCCTCTGTGGAGGAGGAGGCTCGTGAAGGACGCTGTCCAGCAATAGCGGAGGGCAGAGGAGCGACGCTCACAACAACGAGCGGAGCGCCGGGCGGATAAAACGCAGCGAGTTGGAGGTGTTTAACATTGAAGTCTATGGAGGTGTTTAACATTGAAGTCTATGGAGGTGTTTAACATTGAAGTCTATGGTGGTGTTTAACATTGAAGTCTATGGAGGTGTTTAACATTGACGTCTATGGAGGTGTTTAACGTTGAAGTCTATGGAGGTGTTTAACATTGAAGTCTATGGAGGTGTTTAACATTGAAGTCTATGGAGGTGTTTAACATTGAGGTCTATGGTGGTGTTTAACATTAAAGTCTATGGAGGTGTTTAACATTGAAGTCTATGGAGGTGTTTAACATTGAAGTCTATTGAGGTGTTTAACATTGAAGTCTATGTAGGTGTTTACCATTAAAGTATATGGAGGTGTTTAACATTGGAGTCGATGGAGGTGTTTAACGTTGAAGTCTATGGAGGTGTTTAACATTGAAGTCTATGGAGGTGTTTAACATTGAAGTCTATGGAGGTGTTTAACATTGAAGTCTATGGAGGTTTTTAACATTGAAGTCTATGGAGGTGTTTAACATTGAAGTCTATGGAGGTGTTTAACATTGAAGTCTATGGAAGTGTTTAACATTGAAGTCTATGGAGGTGTTAACATTTGAAGTCTATGGAGGTGGTTTAAACATTGAAGTCTATGGTTGGTGCTTAACATTGAAGTCTATGGAGGTGTTTAACATTGAAGTCTATGGAGGTTGTTTAACGTTGAAGTCTATGGAGGTGTTTAACATTGAAGTCTATGGAGGTGTTTAACATGAAGTCTATGGAGGTGTCTTAACATTGAAGTTCTATGGAGGTGTTTAACATGAAGTCTATGGAGGTGTTTAACGTTGACGTCTATGGAGGTGTTTAACATTGAAGTCTATGGAGGTGTTTTAACATTGAAGTCTATGGAGGTGTTTAACATTGAAGTCTATGGAGGTGTTTAACATTGAAGTCTATGGAGGTGTTTAACATTGAAGTCTATGGAGGTGTTTTAACATTGAAGTCTATGGAGGTGTTTAACATTGAAGTCTATGGAGGTGTTTAACGTTGAGGTCTATGGAGGTGTTTAACGTTGAAGTCTATGGAGGTGTTTAACATTGAAGTCTATGGAGGTGTTTAACATTGAAGTCTATGGAGGTGTTTAACATTGAAGTCTATGGAGGTGTTTAACATTGAAGTCTATGGAGGTGTTTAACATTGAAGTCTATGGAGGTGTTTAACATTGAAGTCTATGGAGGTGTTTAACATTGAAGTCTATGGAGGTGTTTAACATTGAAGCCTATGGGAGGTGTTTAACATTGAAGTCTATGGAGGTGTTTAACATTGAAGTCTATCGAGGCGTTTAACATTGAAGTCTATGGAGGTGTTTAACGTTGACGTCTATGGAGGTGTTTAACATTGAAGTCTATGGAGGTGTTTAACATTGAAGTCTATGGAGGTGTTTAACGTTGAAGTCTATGGTAGTGTTTAACATTGAAGTCTATGGAGGTGTTTAACATTGAAGTCTATGGTGGTGTTTAACATTGAAGTCTATGGAAGTGTTTAACATTGAAGTCTATGGAGGTGTTTAACATTGAAGTCTATGGAAGTGTTTAACATTGAAGTCTATGGAGGTGTTTAACATTGAAGTCTATGGAGGTGTTTAACATTGAAGTCTATGGAGGTGTTTAACATTGAAGTCTATGGTGGTGTTTAACGTTGAAGTCTATGGAGGTGTTTAACATTGAAGTCTATGGAGGTGTTTAACATTGAAGTCTATGGAGGTGTTTAACATTGAAGTCTATGGAGGTGTTTAACATTGAAGTCTATGGAGGTGTTTAACATTGAAGTCTATGGAGGTGTTTAACATTGAAGTCTATGGTGGTGTTTAACATTGAAGTCTATGGAAGTGTTTAACATTGAAGTCTATGGAGGTGTTTAACATTGAAGTCTATGGAGGTGTTTAACATTGAAGTCTATGGAGGTGTTTAACATTGAA